ACCTGTATCTAATCTACAGACCTATATCTAATCTACAGACCTATATCTAATCTCCATTCATCTCAAAAATTCTTGAGAAAATAGTTACAAATCAGCTACATGAACATCTGGATAGAAATAATCTATATGAGGAGTTTCAGTCAGGGTTTAGAGCTCATCATAGCACAGAAACAGCACTGGTTAAAGTTACTAATGATATTCTCATGGCCTCAGACAGTGGACTTGTGTCCATTCTTGTCCTGTTAGATCTCAGTGCTGCATTTGATACAGTTGATCACAATTATTACAGAGAGTTGAATTTGATAGTGGGATTACAGGAACAGCTCTAAAATGGTTTGAGTCTTATTTGATAGATTTCAGTTTGTTAATGTTAATAATGAATCATCTTCTTACACCAGAGTTAGTCATGGAGTTCCTCAGGGTTCAGTGCTTGGACCAATTTGCTTTACTTTATGTATGCTTCCAATGAGTTATTAAACATCATGAGATAAATTTCCATTGTTATGCTGATGATACTCAGTTATATTTATCCATGAAACCTGATGAATCTAATCAGTTACTTAAACTACAATCGTGTCTCAAAGAAAAAACAATGACAGAAATCAAAAGCGCTTACTCAATTAAAATCATTCATACCTTACAGGAGTCAGTCATTATGTTACTGTTATTTTAAAGAAAATAGTCCACCCCCACCCCCCATTGCCCTCCAGTTTTACCGTCTTGAGTACCCAGGCTTTTCCTTTTTCATTTCCCCTAGCTATTTAGGAATATTAGAACCTCATAAATATAAAAAAACATTGTTTTCCAACAAATAAATTTAAAAAATATAAATATATATTTTGTTTAAAAATAAAAAAAATATTCAAAAATCAAGTTCCTCTGAACAAGGACAACCAGTCTAAAACCAGTGTTCTCAAATGAAGATGGAGGTTCACAGGAGGTTATATACATAGATATATTATTAAATAACTATTTTAATTAAATGTATAATTAATTAAAAATTAAAACAATTATATTCTAAATATAAAATTAGGCAGTACATACAGGGACACAGTTGATAGAGGAAGAAGGTTGCTAGTAGGGGTGTAAATCACCAGCTTTATCACAATACAACATTACATTAATATGTTTGGATGACGATTCAATATTTCTTGATATCACAAAGTCTGTCACGATATGATTTTGATTCAGTTCAATTCATATCTGTAATCGATATAATGCAATATCATATGCCCATCTAACACAATGACTATGTTAGATGGGCATATGATATCGATTCTCATCAAGCATATATTGAAGATCCATCCATCCATCCATCCATCCATCCATCCATCCATCCATCCATCCATCCATCCATC